AGCTTTGGTCTCTCCTTCCCCCCCACCTCTCAACCCGCCCCAGTGTCTGCAAGTGGAAGAATGCGTTCTTGCTCTGGTATGATTCATGCCTGTGCAAGTGTATATGGTCAGCTTGAAAAATGTTGTTGTTTTAGATGCAGATGTACTTCCTCACCTCAGCAATCATGAAAATCACCTCTCGCGTCTCCGGTGTGGAGCCTAATTGGCGGATGGACCATGGATTCATCCTAAGAGCTGAGCCACAGACCACACTTCCCAGGGGCTGCTCCCAGTTAATCACGGAAGGAGGCAGGGGCCCTGAGGAGATATTCCCAGGAGACCCAGGGCTCCTCTGGAAGCACGAGGACTTTTGGTCAGCCGCACCGAGCTTTCTTAGAATGACAGTGCAGCCTACAACCACCCAATTTCCCTCCCTGTCTTCCTCTCTCCCTCCCTCCCTCTCTCTCTTCCTTCCTAGCTCCCAGCCTCTTTTGTCTTCCTTCTCACGTTCCCCAATAAATCTCTTGGATATTTCGTCCCACCTTGGCTGTCTCAGAGGACCCGGACTAACGTCCCTTCCCATCACAGATTTAGATAAACTGAAAAGAAGAGAGAGGGCTTCCAGGCAGGTAGACCGCACGAATAAAGGTGTGGAGGTAGGAAGGTCCAGGCTGTGTTCACAGCACATGGGGAAATGAGTCTGGCCTAAGAAGGCATTCAAGCCCCACGCTACCACCTATCAAAAGAAGTGTTATGTGGGGGCACCTGGGGGGCTCAGTCGGTTAAGCACCTAACTTCGGCTCAGGTCATGATCTCACAGTTCGTGGGTTCGAGCCCTCCATCAGGCTCTGTGCTGAAAGCTTGGAGCCTGGAGCCTGCTTCAGATTCTGTGTCCCCCCTCTTTTTCTGCCCCTCCGCAGCTCTGTTTCTGTTTCTCTCTTGAAAATGAATAAACATTAAAAATTTTGTTGAAAAAAAAAAGGAAGTGCTGTGTGACTTTGGGTAACTTACTCAGTCTCTCTGGGCCTTGGTTTCACCATTTGCAATCTGGGAACACTAATGGTACCCATTTTACAGGGTCCTGTGGGGATTAGATGAGTTAATATGAAAAAGTATTTTGAATGGTCCAAATTACCAACTAAAGTTAGAGTCATCATTACAAAAACATTTAAAACTGGCCTTCTCTAGGGCACCTGCGTGGCTCAGTCAGTTAAGCGTCCGACTTCGGCTCAGGTCATGATCTCACAGTTCGTGGGTTCGAGCCTCGTGTCGGGCTCTGTGCTGACAGCTCAGAGCCTGGAGCCTGTTTCAGATTCTGTATCTCCCTCTGTCTCTGACCCTCCCCTGCTCATGCTGTCTGTCTCTCTCTCTCTCAGAAATAAACAAAACATTTTAAAAAATTAAAATCAAAATAAAATAAATCTGGCCTTCTCTGATGGGGCTGGGTTTTGGCTTTGACAAGGCAACACACATATTTTCCTTTCCAAACACAATTTGTTTATAACCTTTGGGATGCAGACATGAACCAGACTCGGTCCCTGGAAAAGGGTTGTGGGGCAGCTCCCCATTTTCTGGAGTTGGGTCTTGACATGGTCCTCATGACCTACTGCAGCGATAAGAGAGCAGAGGTTGGGTGGAGGGGCCCCTGGGTGGCCCAGTGGGTTAAGTGTCCGACTCTTGGTCTCGGCTCAGGTCATGATCTAGCAGTTCTGTGGATTTGAGTCCCGCATGGAACTGTAAGTGAGAAACGTGCTTGGGATTCTCTGCCTCCCTCTCTCTCTGCCCCTCCACTACTCGCACTGTCTCTGTCTCCCTCAAAATAAATTAAAGAAAAGAGAGAGAGGGCAGAGGTTCGGCGGATCAGAGCGTTGCCCAGATGTCTCATTTCTACTGGACAGCGGACATCTGGACACAGGATGAGGAGAATGCATGGATGCTTGTCACTGGGTGACAGCCTCTGGGAGAGGCGCAAGGAAGAAGGAATTTCCCGACACTCCATCTGACACGTAGGCTTCCCGTGCCGGAGTTGGAACCCTGCTGGGTGACTCCCTGCCATCACCACTATCAGCAACATGCCCATTATACAGATAAAGCAGTTGAGGCTCAGCAAGGTGAAGCTTGCTTTTGGTCATGTGACAAGCAAGTGGCCATGCCGGGATCAGAACTCAGCTCTCAAGCCTTGCATGTTCCAGCCCTTCCACCATGGCCTGCTGGGGTGGCTCCTGGGCAAGTTTTCCCTCATCTTCAGTCCTGAGGCCACATGAGCCCTGAGCAGGGCCCCGTCAGGCCTCGTGGGCCGGGGGAGTTTGGAATTTCTTGCTGTTCCGCAAGATGTCAGAGTCAGAGTACCCTGTGAACAGGATACCCAGTAACTTAATAAAGCTAGGAAGCCCGAGCTGTAATGAAAATGAAAATAAGAAGATGAAGTGACACTTCTGAAAGTTCACCGCGGGCCAGTCCCGTGAGAGGTGCTTTGGACGCATTCTCATCTCACATGCTCCACACCACGGCCATGACTGGAAGGTCCTCTTAACTAGAAATGTTTTTGGCTGCATGTGAGACAAAAGCTGATTCATGGGCTCTTCAGCAACACAGAGATTTGATGATTTCTTAAATGAGAAGTCTGGAGCTGGGTGATTCTCGGGCTGGTTCCTAGCAAAGAGGGACATCCCTGGCCGGCTCAGACCAGTGGGAAGAAGACGGAGCCACCTCCCTAAACATGTGGGTGATTCCTGAATAAAATCAGGTTCCATTAGCAAAAGAGAGGCCAGGGGCCCCAACACATTCTTCTCTCATTGGTGTGGAAGTAGCTGGTCTCCTTTCCTGGAGTGGGGGTGGGGGTTGCCCCTGGATTGGGTGGGGAGGAGAGACACGCTATCTGGGAGTGATTTAGATTGGGATGCCGCTGGTGTATACTCAAGCCTGGGATGTAGGGTGGAAGAGCTAACATTTATTGAGGACCTACTGTGCACTAGACCCATGCTGGGTGATTTCACTCTGTCATCGTTTAATTCAGTCTTCACAACAGACCAGAGAGGAAGGAACAGTTCTTCCCATTTTTCAGGTGAGAAAACTGAGCCCTGATCACGCATATGATGAGAGGCTGGCAGCAGTTAACTTTCACTAATGCTGGCCGTGTATCCGGCACTCTGAAAGGCGTGTCCCCTGGATTAGGTCATTCTTCAACTGCACTCCACTGATGAGGCACCCAGCTCAGGGAGGAGGCGCAGACTGCCCACTTACGCAGGTTAGCATTGGCCAAGCCGGGCTGTGAGCCTCACTGGCAGAGGGCCACCCTGTGGTGCTCCCCAAATTTGGAGAAAACCCTCCACGCCTGTTCAAGGGCCTTTCTGGGATCGTTGACTTTATAGGCGGATAAGCTGGATAAATAAACAAGAGATTCAGGAAGTGCCTTTGCCTCTTGATATTCTGAATCCAGAGGACACATGAAGGTCATCCAGCTGCCTTGACAGCCAACATTATACAGGCAAATAATGAATCTCTAACATGATAGCAGGAATGTTAAGTACTGTCAAGGAGAAAAACAAACTAAAGCAATAGCGAATGATGGTGTGAACACTTTAGACCAGGTGGTCAGGGAAGGCTTCTTTGAGGAGGCAACAGTGGAGCAGAGACAGAGGGATGAGGAATGTGATGGAAGGAGCCAGCTACGCAAGTCTCTGAGAGAAGATTGTTTTAGACAGAGGGACTATCAAGTGCAAAGGTCCTGAGGTAGAAGTGAGTTTTGCACATTTGGGGAAGGACAAGAAGATGAGTGTGGCTGGAGCGGAGGCAGGGAGGCAGGGAGTGGGGGTGGGGGCATGAGGCGAGGAAGGTAAAGGTGTCAGGGGGCAGATAATGCTGGTCCTTATAGGACCTTGTAAGGACTTGGGGCTGTGCTCTCAGGAGTGAGGCAGAGCCATGGAGGGTTCTGAGCAAAACCCAGTCACAGGATCTGACTTGGGTTCTAAGTGGATCCTTCTATAGAGGGAGGGGGCTGAAGCCAGGTGACCAGGGAGCAGTGACAGCTTCCCCAGGGGGCCACAGGGAAGAGGAGAGGAAACCTGCCTGAAGGCACCCAGCAGTGAGAAACAGACACAGGATTAGAATCAGCCCTCCACCCACTGACTCACAGCACTCACCTGTGCCAGGCAGGGAGTACTTTGCAACATTTTACTGACACGCTCTCCTCAGTTTCTCACGACTTTGATTTGTCTGTTCCCAGACAAGAAACTGGCCTCGGAGAGGGTTTGTTTCCTGCACAAGGGTTTCCGGGGTGCAAATCGGTGGAGGAGGACGGGGTGAGCCTGGATTCCCCTGAGCCCCAGGGTGGTGTGCAGAGCCAGACACCTAGAGGCCGCTACACTGAGCACCAGGTAGTCTTGACAATGGCCTTGACAATGGCCACGTACCCTGAGCGCCTACGATGCTCCAGGCTCAGGTCTGTGCTTTACGGTCCTGAGGGCCCCTCGCGGCGGTGGAGGGAGGACGAGGGACTCAGAGCCAAACCTGCAACCCGGTCACTAGTCACTGAAGGTGATACACGCGCTGGGTGATCCACCAACCTCGCCCAGACACACGGGTACAAATATCCCGGTCCAGGGTGGGGATGGCACCAGGAGGAGGCGGGGTGGTGGAGGCCGCTCAGGTAGAAGGTGGGCCCCTCCCACCCCTCCCACCACACTCCCCCCTCTGCCCCCTCCCCGACCCCTCCCCATCGCCCCTCCGCCTCCCCCAGCCCTCCCTTCCTTCCCTCCCCCGCACAATCCCTCCCACCTCGTCCCCGCAGCTCCCTCCGCTCCACCCCACGCTTTCCAGCCCCTTTCGGACCCAGGGTGGGGGGGGCCGGCGCCGCCGAGCTGGGGGAGGGGCTCCCCGAGAGCGCCCCGCCCCCCGGGACCCTGGCGCGGTCGTCGGGCCCGCCCCCCGTGCCGCCGCGGCCGGGCAGCCTGGAGGGAGGGCCCGCGGGCCGAGAGGTACCTGGGCGCCCCGAGCCGCCGCCGCCTCGCCGCCGCCCGGCCATGTCCTGGGCGCTGCTCCTCGGGCTCCTGGCCGCGCTGCTGCTGCTGCTGCTGCTGAGCCGTCGGCGCACGCGGTGAGTGCCCTCGCCCCCCGCCCGCCCCGAGGGGCGCCCCCGGGTCCCGGGACGCGCAGGCCCCGCTTCCCCCAGGCGCTGCCCCCTCCGGCCGAAGGGGCTCGACGCCCATCCGCCGCCCCATCCCGGGGTGGGGGGGGGAGGGGGCGACTGCCAGGCCGCCTCGGGGAGAGGCTCCGAGGGGGGGCGAGGGACGGGGTTGGGGGACCCCGGCCGATGGCTCCCCGAGCACGGCCGGCACCTGCGAAGGGCTTTCTGGAGACTGTCTCCGGGTGGGGAGGGGGTGCGAGAAGCCCCCTTCTGGATCCAGCATCTACTTGAGCCATTTCCCAGCCTTTCTGGGTTCCTTGCTCCTCACCCCATTACACAGATGGGCGAATTGAGGCTGGGGAATGTAGAGCCCTGGAACCACTTTCCATAGGAGTGTTCCCCCCCTTCCCCCCCCCCCCCCCCCCCCCCCCCCCCCCCCCCCCCCCCCCCCCGCTCTCGCCTTTGCCCTGACCTGGACGACGGGGCTGGGTAGATTCGGATCTCCTTCTGCTCTGGTCCAGAAAGGGGTCTCCCCTCACCTGAGGCCCCACAGCCTGGGCAGGGTAGAACCCGGGCCAAACTTCTCAGCTTCCTAGTCCCAAAGATTGTCCTGCTCTGCTGAGAATCTGTGATTTCGGACAAGGGGTAAATCTCATACACTTCAAATCAAGGACATGGCAGTAAGTCCTTTTTTTATAAAGCATTTAAAAAGTTAATTTGAGTGGCTCATGGAGTAGCTGAGTGCATTTGACTTAAATATTTATCCCGTTATAGAGAGGACTGAAGCCCTTCCCTTCCGGCAATTCCAGACTTTTCTTGTTGATCAAGGCTACCTCATAGCGCTGCTGAGGGCAAGGCTCGAAACTTCCAGACTTTTTACGAACACTTTTTATTTTAGACTGGTTTTACGTTTGGAAGAAAGTTGCAAAGTTTGTACAGAGTTTCTAAAGAAAGACCCCTCATCCAGTTTCAGCCATTGTTAACATTTTACGTTATCGTTATCGTGGTACGTTAGTCCAAACTAAAACACCAACACTAGGCTGTTAAGATGAACCAAACTCCGAACTTAATTTGTATTTCATCAGTTTTTCCATCATGTGCTTATTCTGTGCCAGGATCCAGTTCAGAGTACTACCCTGTGTTTAGTTATCATCCCTCTTCAGTGAGGCTGTAGATAATATAGAGGTCTGTGTGTGTGCGTGTGTGTGCGTGTGTGTGCGTGTGTGTGTGTGTGAAATGAGGGTTCTGAAAATTCCAGAACTTTTCTGGAAACTTTTTATTTTTAAACAATAGGTTAGTTCCATTTCCAAACCATAACCCTGTGATCTTTTTCTTTAACGTTTAGACACCTTCTCAGGTTAAATGTAAAACTCTGTATTTATTCATTTGCCTGAAAAAAAAAATGACGAAGAAAAAGAAAAAGGAAACAAGCAAATTTTTCTGTGAAGAAGTGAATTATTCTTCCAAACTTGTTAGGCTTTTTGGAAACTCTGTCTAGTGATGTTTTCAGACTGTGCATTTGCTTTTTCACTCCAGATTTTAGTTTTGATATCCGGCCATGTTGCTACATGGAGATCTGATTCATTCTTTTGATCGTCTGTGTCGTATTCCATAGTATGAATGAATGGAAAGTTTGGGGTTTTTTTTTCCCTTTTATTCCTGTCTCAACGGATGGACTCTTAGGTTTCTCCAACGTTTTTGCTATTTCGGACAATGTGCTGTGGTCTTCCTGCGACCCCTCCTGCTCTGTGACACCACCCCCCCCCCATGGATGCAGTGACTATAAGCTATATGGATTCTGAGAGGCAGGGTCTTTGGGTGGTCAGCGTGTGGAGACTCTCGGCCTCTAGGAATAAGAACAAATTGAGTACCCACTCTCTGCCTTAGTTTCTTAGTCTTTAGAATGGGGATGCTGGGGCGCCTGGGTGGCTTAGTCAGTTAAGCATCCAACTTTCACTTAGGTCATGATCTCGCGGTTCGTGGGTTCGAGCCCCGTGTCGGGCTCTGTGCTGACTGCCAGCTCAGAGCCTGGAGCCTATTTCAGAAGCTGTATCTCCCTCTCTCTCTGACCCTCCCCTGCTCACGCTGTCTCTCTCTCTCTTTCCTAGAAATAAAAGAAAAAAAAAAAAAAGAATGGGGATGCTGATGAGAATGGTAGTTAAGAATGGAATTGCTGGGTTAGAAGAAAGGCCAGTTAAACATTTTAGCAAGTTCTTGCTGTAACCCAGAGCGCTAATTTATCTTTGTGGGTGAGCCGTTGATTTTTATACCCGGTGGCTTAGGAGGGCCAACAGGTGGGGACTGGGGAGAAGTATGGGTATAGGGGTCACCAAGAGCTCAGGGGCAGTTAGTCGGGTGGACCCCAGGGAGACCCCAGAGGCACCCCAGTTTAGGTCCCAATCTCATTTTCTCCTCCCAATTTGGCAGCGGGCACTGTTGTTCCATTTTACAGAGAAGGAAACTGAGTCTCAGAGAAACTAAGCAACTCGTCCAAGGTCTGCCTGGATTACAAATCTAGGCTGTAAGGATTTGTAATTCTCAGGAAAAATGAATTTCCATGCTCCCCACACATTTTATTTGTAATCTGAATGCTCAAAAGCCTTAGAACCACATGATGGTAAGATAGTAAGATGTGGATACAACCAGAAGATCCTTTTTAATAAAAATATTTATTTGTGTGAGAGACAGACAGACAGTAGGGGAGGGGCAGAGAGAGAAAGGAGACACAGAATCCGAAGCAGGCTCCAGGGTACGAGCTGACAGCACAGAGCCCGATGTGGGGCTTGTACTCATGAACCTCAAGATCATGACTTGAGCCAAAGTTGGACACTTAACCACTGAGCCACCCAGACACCCCCAGAAGATTCTTTTTTTTAAAAAAAAATTTTTATTTCTGAGAGAGAGAGAAAGACAGCATGAGCAGGAGAGGGTCAGAGAGAGAGGGAGATACGGAATCTGAAACAGGCTCCAGGCTCTGAGCTGTCAGCACAGAGCCCAATGTGGGGCTAGAACCCACAAACCGTGAGATCATGACCTGAGCCGAAGTCGAACACTTAACCGACTGAGCCACCCAGGCACCCCGCCTCCAGAAGATTCTTAAGGACAAATAATCAAGTGTTGGCAAAAGGGATGGTTGATGCCGATGCCGTGTAGACAAGGAATCAAACAAGCAAGGCCATGCACCTTCCTTTCTCCTCACTGACCCTTGAGGTGATGTTCATCACCCCATTTTACAGCTGAGGCTAGAAGGGCTCAGTGTCCTCCTCAGGGCCACACTGAAATTCTATTCCCCATCTAGCCAGTTCCAAAACTCATGCTTTTCTCAGTAAAAAGAAAAAAGAAAAGAAAGAACTTTAGTCAGTCAACAACTGTCTTTACCTCTAGCTTTTTTTTTTAAGTTAAAATTTTTAATGATGAAAAATTTCAACTATACATAAAAAATAGAATAGTATAAGAATCCCTGTGGAACCGTCCCCTTCATTTGATGGTTAACATTTTTACAAAAAATTATGGATCAGGGCGCCTGGATGGCTCAGTCGGTTGAGTGTCTGACTCTTGATTTTGGCTCAGGTCATGATCCCAGGGTGATGGAAGAGCCCCTCATCGGGCTCTATGCTAACATTTTCTCTCTCTCTCTCTCTCTCTCTCTCTGCCCCTTTGTGTCCCCGCATGCTCTTTCTCTCAAATTAAAAAAAATTTTTTTTAATTCCAGATGTTACAATATGTCTCCAGAAAATATTTCAGAATGCATGTCAAAAAAACAGTGACAGGGCGCCTGGGTGGCTCACTCGGTTAAGCGTCTGACTTCAGCTCAGGTCTCACGGTTCATGGTCGGGCTCTGTGCTGACAGCACAGAGCCTGGAGCCTGTTTCAGATTCTGTGTCTCCCTCTCTCTCTGACCCTCCCCTGCTCATTCTGTCTCTCTCTCAGAAATAAATAAAAAATAAAACATTTAAAAAATAAAACATTTTTAAAAAATTAAAAAGAAAATAGGTAAAAATAGTGACAGTCACAATTCTCTTATCCTGCTTCAGAATATAAAAATCATTAATATTGTGTAGTCTCCAGTCTAAATTCAGATTTTTGCAGTTACAACAAAGGTAACTTTTAAACCCGGCCTGGCAACCATGAGTGTTTTCGCCTGGGAGAGGTTGTGAGCTGGAGTGAGGAGGGGTCAGGAGCTAGGAGCCTGACTTCTGTGTCACTGGGGCTGGTGACCTGCATGAGGGTGTCCGAAACATTCTTCCTGCTGCCCTTTAGGGCCTGTTTGTCCAGCAAACCTCGCGTAGCTGCTCTCCAGTGCCCCGGCCACTCCGCCAGTCCGAGTGCGTCTCTCTTCCTCTTTGAGCTTGTGCCTGTCTGGTCGAGGGAGCGCTGGAAGAAGACGCCAGGTGGGGGAAGGCCACCGTGGCATCAGGCGTAGGGTTCCCGGTGACTGAGGAATGATCTGGGCCCTTGCAGGATACGGAGTTTCTAGGCACAGATAAATGTGTCTCATTCCAACACGCGCTAACCAGAGGCCATCGGGTGGTGGCCCATAGCGGGATTCGGCACAGATGGGTCTGCTGTGTACCATGGGGGGGGGGGGAGCGGGGGCAAGAGGAGAAAATTTGGGGCTTCCCCGTACAAAATTCCAGATTTCCAGCTTCTCCTAAAAATGTGACAATAGAACCTCACCCGCCAGGGACTCGGTAGCAGAGGCCTCTGTAAGCCTTGCCGCCGTCCCCAACCCAGTTTGCATCTGCCCTGTCCCTCTGCTTGCTCTAGCCATTTTCTGTTACGCTGCGAATTCTCTGAACCTTCTGTGTCAGTTACAAAAACAGGAAAAACAAAAACTGGAGCAAAGTGGCCGCGTGCTGCTTCCGCGGAGTGGGAGGCAGGGAGAGGGGGAGAGGGCTCGTGTCAGACAGCTTGTGGGCAAGCCCCGGGAAGGAGTGGGAGCTTAAGTTGCTGAAACCCTGCAGGTTCCCCCCCCATGAAATCCTCCCAGAGCCTGAGGCCCCGAATTGAGTTCAAACTACCAGACAGAGACGTCAGGCCATCCGCTAACACTGCCCAGTACACGATGCAGCTTCTGCTCAAACCAGAACGTGTGTCAGGCACTTGACCTGCATCGCGTCCCTTGACCCCTTTAGCAACTGTGGGGGGTGGGGAGGGGCAGGTGCTGCTCCTTGAGCACCAGCCGCATACACAGATCGTTCATCTGACACGTATTAAACGACTGCCCTGTGCCAGGCACTGTTGTTAAGTGTTGGGGTCAAGTGCCTGTAGCCATGGAACTTCCGTCCAGTGCGGGTGTGATACTTCAGGGCACAGAGGTGGCTGATGCCCACCCTTAACTCTCTGCCCCAGTTTGCAGAGGGTTGAGTGAGACCGAGGCAGGACAGGTGGCAAGGTTGGCCGTGGAGTCTGTGAGTGAGGAGTGGGCAGTTGGGGAGGAGCCCATGTGACCGGAAGTGGAGAGGCAGAAAAGGTGCCTTGATGTCTGAAACCAGAAGGGCAGGCTTTGTGGGTGGCCGGGGATGAGGGGGTCCAGCCCTCCCTCCAAGGGCCTGGCAGTGCCTCAAAACAGTGAGAGTGTCCGTGGGCGAGGCTCAAGACCGCAGACCCCAAAATAGAGCCTCCTTCGGCCCTGCTGGCTGCCGGCTGAGTCACCCTGGAATGTAGCCTGGGCCTGAGCTGGATTCAGGGCCTAGGCTCTGTCGGGGGTCAGACTCCTGGGCTCCTAGCTTCCTGCCTTTGTCTGAGCCTCCTTGGGACTTTTCTGGGGGAATATGGAAGCTGCCAGAAATAACATGTGGCTCATTGGGGAGCTCTGGCCGCAACCTGGATGAAGAGCAAGGAAAGGAAGCCATGGCCCTGCCCTTACGCCCAAAGGTGTCTTAGAGGAAAAAGGCCCCTGTCCTGGAAATGGGGGGGGCGGATGCCAGCTTCACCTCCACTTCCATTGTCGCGCTCCTGGATCATCACAGTCATTTCTGTGTTGTGACTTTTTAAAAGCAAAAGGACATCTATATCCAGCACCCGCTTCCAACCCTCCAGGAACCCCCCATGATACTGGGCGTGGAAGCCTGACCCTGGCTATAGGTCAAGTCCTGCCTCTCACCCCTGCAGTCCACCCCAGCCACACCAGTGCCTGCTGTCTTGAAAGCCTCCCACCCCAGGGTCCTTGCACTTGCTGTTCCCACTGCCTAAAATCCTTCTCTCCCCACTCTGGTACTGCACTCCCTTCTCATCCTGCTGGTCTTTGATAAGGTGGTGCCTCCGTGGGGAGGCCCTCCCTGATCAGTCCGTCACCCTCTTTCTTTTTTCTTTGCTGAGATATAAATCACACACTGTAACACTTACCATTTAAAAATTCTTCTAAATGTTTATTTTTGAGAGAGAGAGGCAGAGCACAAGTAGGAGAGGGGCAGACAGAGAGGGAGACACCGAATCTGAGAAAGGCTCCAGGCCCTGAGCTGTCAGCACAGAGCCTGACGTGAGACTCAAACTCACAAACCGTGAGATCATGACCTGAGCTGATGTGGGATGCTTAAGTGACTGAGCCACCTCCTGCCTCAGATTCTGTGTCTCCCACTTTCTCTGCCTCTTCCTCACTCCCACTCTGTCCCTGTCTCTCAAAAATAAATAGACATGAAAAAAATAAAGTATACAATTCAGTGGTTTTTAGAATATTCATAGGGTTGTGTCTCCATCACCACTGCCGAACTCCAGAATATTTTTTGTCACTCCCAGAAGAAACCTGGAAACCCATCTCCATAGCAGTCACTCTGCATTGTCCCCTCCCCTCAAGCTCTGGCCACCACTAGTCTACTTTCTGTCACCCTGGATGTGCCTTTTCTGGACATCGCACAGAAGTAGATCATCCAGGATGTGACCTCTGTGTCTGGCTTCTTTCACTTAGCAAATGGTTTTAGGGTTCTTCCACACTGTAGCACGAATCACTCATTCCTTTTTATGGCTGAATAATGTTCCATGGCATGAAGATACTGTAGTTTGTCCATTCATCGGTCAGTGGACATCTGCGTTGGCTCCATCTTTTGGCCACTATGAATAATGCCGCTGAGAACAATAGTGTACAGTTTTATATATGAACTTATGTTTTCAGTAATTTGGGGTATGTTGCTGGGTTGTATAGTAACTCTGTTTAAGGAGTTACTTTCAAGGAGCTGTTGGGCTAGTTTCTAAAATAGCTGCACCACGTACATTCCCACCAGAAATATACCAGGGTGCCCATTTCTCCACATCTTTGCCAAGAGTGACTTTCCTTTTTTTTTTTTTTTTTTTAAGATTATAGCCATCTTGGTGTGAAGTGGTACCACACTGCGGCTTTGATTTGCATTTCCCCAGAGCCTCATGATGTCGAGCATCTTTTCATATGCTTGCTGGCCATTTGTGTCTCTTCTTTAGAGAACTGTCCACTCAAATCCTTCGTGCATTTAAACATTGGGTTATTTGTTGGGGCACCTGGGTGGTTCAGTTGCTTAAGCATCTGACTTTGATTCTGGCCATGAGCTCATGGTTCATGGGTTTGAGCCCCACATCAGGCTCTGTGCTGACAGCTCAGAGCCTGGAACCTGCTTCGGATTCTGTCTCCCCCTTTCTGCCCCTCCCCTGCTCACACTCTGTGTGTCTGTCTGTCTCTCTCTTAAAACTAAATAAAAAAGGTTGTTTTTTTTTTTTTTTTTAAATTGGGTTGTCTTTTCATTGTTCACTCGTAGCTCCTTTATTTTCTTTATCACTCCCTGAAATGATTTTGCTTTTTTTGCTTTTGCCTGCCTTCCCCTTGTTAGTACGCAAGCCCCATGAAGTCAGGCACCTTGCCTGGCCTGCTTCCTAGTTACTATTCGGTGAGCGAGTGAGAGGAGAGGGGATATGACTCACTCACTGAGCAGGCAGGGAGCTGTCTGCATGCCTGTGGTTCTGATCATTGTAAGACAAAGCTCGGGGTCCTTGCCTGGGTTTAAGGACCTTTTTTATGTTTTTTCATGCAGGGGGTCCACCCTGAGCACTAGTCTTACGCTTTCTGAGGCCGACTTCGTGCTCATGATAAGCCGTCCCAGCTAACAGCCCCTCCCCCAGAGGATGGCGGGGCAGGGCAGCCAGGGGCCGGCGGTGAGGGCGGCCCTTCCACAATTTGTCCCTCAGTCACTCAACGGGTCTCTGGTCTCATCCTTTCTCCGTGGGCACAGCAGGGGGTGTGAGATCGCCAAAGCCCTGTCCACACTGGCTCAGGCAGAGAACTATGTTCCTTGTACTTCTGGGTTTCTAGAAGGCTCTCTTCCCCACAGGGGAAAGTCCACCTCGCCTGGACCCCCTAACATGTACCAGCATCCACTGGTCGCCCAGCTTCTGCTCTTGGCCCCTATAGTCCCTCTCTCTCAGCCGCCAGAAGGATCCTGTAAAAACTTAAGCCAAATCCTGTCCCTGTGCAGCTTGAAGCTCTCCCACGGCTCCCCCCTCGCTCAGGGAGAAAGTTCAAAGTCCTCACAGCTGCCTCCGAGGCCTGCCTCGTCTGACACCTGTTACTGCGCTGGCCTCCACTTCTCTGTTCTCCTTGGTCTCTCCAGTTCTGTTCGTGGCCTCCTTACTGTTCGTGGAACACATGAGACACAACCCAGCCTCAGGGCCTTTGCACGTGTCATTCCCTCTGCCTGGAAGGCTCTTCTTCCAGATATCTATATGGCTCCTTCCCTCACCACCTTCAGGCCTTTCTCCAATGTCCCAGGGAAGCCTGCTGTGCCCTCTCCACTGAAAATCACACCCCATGCCCTATACTTTGTCTTCTTTCCCTGCTTAAACACAATGATAAGTACTGTGGCTTCTGCAGGCGACCTGGCGAGCCTCCCCTGGATATAGGCAGTATCCCCTGGTTGGGCCATGCCTTGGAGTTTGGGAAAGATGCTGCCAGCTTCCTCACCAGGATGAAGGAGAAGCACGGTGACATATTTACTGTAAGTGCCTCTTATGCCTCTAGGGAGGGAAGGGGACGAGCAAGTGGGCCTGTCATCTGGTGTTCACTGATTCCTTCTAATTGTTTTTAATGTTACTTTTGAGAGAGAGAGAGAGAGAGAGAGAGAGTGTGTAAGCAGAGAAGGGGCAGAGAGAGAGGGGGACACAGGATCCGAAGCAGGCTCCAGGCTGTCAGCACAGAGCCCGACGTGGGGCTTGAACTCACAAACTCTGAGATCATGACCTGAGCCGAAGTCGGACACTCAGTTGAGTGAGCCACCCAGGTGCCTTTCACTGATTTCTTCTCATACACTAACCTCACACCCTTCCACACACTAACCTCGCACCCTTCCACACACTAACCTCACACCCTTCCACACGCTAACCTCACACCTTCCATACACTTACCTCACACCCTTCCACACACTAACCTCACGTCCTTCCACACACTAATCTCACACCTTCCACACACTAACCTCACACCTTCCACACACTAACCTCACACCTTCCACACACTAACCTGCCAGCCAATGGTCCCGCCAACTTTCCATCCATTTCCCCATCCAGCTGTACAGCCAACACTTAACTAACATCCATCCCTTCATTATCCCTTTAGCATCTTCCCGGCACGAAGGAATGCAGTCATTCAGTGTCTGTGAAATTCTTGTACATCCATCCAGCTGACCTCTATCCATCCACTCAACTTCCATCTATCCAACATCCATCCATTCATCCAGCGTTTATCCTTCTGTCTGTCTACCCAATATGTAAGCAGCATCCTTCCGTCCTAATATCCACCCAACATTCATTCATATATTCCATTTCCATCAAACCTCCATCTGTCCACTCATCCATCTTTCCATATACCTATCCAACATCCATCTCCCCATCCATTTATCCATCACCTATCCCTTCATCTATCTACTCAAATTTATCCAGTAATCTTCCATTCACATATATAACATCCATCCAGTTTTTATCCGTATGTTTAGTTTCTGCCAGCTTCCATCTATCTACCCATCTTTCCATCCATCTGCCACCAGGCACCTGATATACAGTTATCTATCCATTCAGTATGCAGTGTCTCTCCACTCTGGATGCATCTGTTTGTATCTCCATCCATCTATCCATCTATCCATCCATCCATCCACCCACCCA